GTACGAGGGCTGTCCGTTAAAAAAATTAAAGCAATTGTTTATTTCTCGACAGTGCATCCAAAGTTTGCCAAAATGATTTATATTTATCTTTGGAACGAATCTACCTCTCGGCAGGTTTAAAAACTTGTGGGTTCCATAATAGACATCTTTTGGATAAATGAATGACTGAGCGTCGCATCTCTTATTTATACAATTCTCAATATCTGACGCGTCGATGGGTCTCTTTTTATAGTCAAATAACGAGGCATATGAATCAATTTTGATGTACATGCGATTTTTATCGGTGTAGAGCGGTTTAACGACGTATTCGATCCTGTTTAAATCGTCGATATCGCGACTGGCTTTGTAAGCTTTTATTTCGCAAGATTGTATAATAATCTTTTATCGGCGGTTTTATTCCGCGTGCCAAATTTATACACGGGGTTTATGCCATAACAGGTCGTGTCAGGCATCATAATGAGCAGGCGTTTTTCTACGCCTCCATGAGTGTAATAAATGGGTGAGGAACATTGAATTACGCGAGTACCTTCTTTAATCACAAGATTTGAAATAGTTAATTTGCTCGAGTCAAAAGGACCGTATGTGATATTGGGATCGCTATTGCCGGCATTGAGACGCTCGTGGTCGTCTGAAACAATGTAAATTTGGGTTTACATGGTTCTAATTTTCCGGCCTTGCCAGAAATTTTTCTCATTTTTTATTGACCCTTAATTGGCCACGTCTATTAACTCGGGTGGAATTGCTACTTTAATTAAATTCTCGACGCCGACGAGTTTAGTCGCCGAATCGGAAAGTGACTCGTTTTCTCGCCCACGAGCACCACGTGATCTATTCCTTCCAACTCGGCACAATTTACGCAGCAGGTACAAGCGGTACGACTGACACATTCAATATAATTACTGCACTCGTAATAATCTTCACAGCTGTCCAAGGCATTTGAATTTTGACAGTCGTATGAATTGAAACAATATACGCAATGTATACATCTGCCGCATTCGCTGCAAGTGGAGCAATTATTACATTTAGTGCAGTCGTTGCAATGGTGGCAGTTGTGACACTCTTTGCAATTTATGCATTTGAATAAACAGTCAGAATTTAAACAGCGTGAGCAACCGTAGGAATCTACCAAGTTAATTGAATTGATCGTGTCTTGGCAAAAATAACAATTTTTTAAAGTTTGTTTTATGGTCTATCATGTTTTTTGTATTTGTTTTATTTCTATTTATTTTTCATTTTTAAACGGCGCGTAAATCTTTGGGAATAAATATTTCATCCGGCTTGTAAACTCGTTTGCCGTCTTTGGTCGTTCTCACTAGTTTCTCATAGCCGTTAACAATTAGCCAGACCGCGTGAACGGCGACCAATTTAGCGTATTCAAATTTTGTGGCTAAAGCTCTTTATATCCTAGTTGAGAAATGTGTCTCTTTTTCCAGGCGCTTCCGGTAGAGCTATTTTTTTTTTAATTGGAAAGTTCCCGGGGGAATTCTCCTTTTTGGGTTCGGGGCTCCACGAGTGCTAGTTTGGAAGTCCCTTTTTGGGTCAAGGGGTTTTGGGGAAGTCCCTTCTGCGCTGGAGGGAGTAAAGTCCCTGCTGCTCTTAAACTCCCCCTTCCCTACTACTATATCATTTTCGAAAATGTTGTCTTGTAAGACGCTCTAAAATTAGTTTTAAAGAAATGAATTAATCGTTAACATTACTTGATAAGCCATGTCCATCGACATGATCGACTCAAACTATACCATGCACGGTATGTGACAAACGAACTCTACACCTGTGCTGTGCATCACTGCTACTTGCTACAAAACTGTTTACTGTTATTTTTGGTGGGATTAAAAGATACAACACCAGACCAAGCAGGGAAAGAGACCAGCAGCGCTAAACATCGAGCAAGCTGCCGGTGCAAAGTAGTAAAAAAAAAAGCTACTCCATGGACATGTGCACAAACCCGCCGCTACTCGCCGCTACACAGGGTCGGGCTTGTCGAAAAGGAAGGGGCCGGGGCAGAGTAGCAGAAAAAATGCTACTTCATAGACTTGTGCACAAACCCGCTGCTACTCGCCGCTACACAGGGCTAGGGCAGGTCGAAAAGGAAGAGGCCGGGGGAGAGTAGCAGAAAAAAGGCATTTAATGCGACCACCGAATCGGTGATGCGCTTTAGCAATCGGTGATGCATATTCACGATGGGTGATCACCATCAGCTAGCGATGCATATTCACAAGCGGTAATGGTGTTTCCATCGTTGATGCATTTTCGAAAGCGGTGGTGGGTTTCTGAGATCGTTGGCCGACTTTCGCGATCGGTGATGGTGTTTCACTGCCGGTGATCAACTCTGTAGTCGGTGATGGTTTTTTTGCGATTGGTAATGGGATTTTAGCGATTGATAATGGTCTTTCACTGCCGATGATCGAACTTGCAATTGGTGATGGCCTTTCTGATTCGTGATGAGCGTCGCTGATGTGATGCATGCATATTCGTGGTCGGTGTTTATTTTATTTTTTTTTTCTGTGGGACTTCCACAATTAGTGAATGACCTCTAAGTTATTAAGGTATTGCACACTGGAATTAAGTTCGGATTAGAATAAACAACAGGGGAAGGGTGGACGCTGGAGGGAGTACACCTTGAAAGAAGGACGGGCTACGGAAAAACACATACATGTAATTAGTAGGCCTATTTTAATTCGAGATTGAGTTAAATTGGGTTCGGAGTGGAATATGCTCGTGTATGCTCGTGAAATATTTTAGTTTTTGGCATGATTCAATGATGAATCCAAAGAATACTTTACTAAAATTGGAAATACAAGAAAATAACGGGGAGAGATTGTTGCATCCTCCATGGTTATCCCAAACCGCTAATATTCGTGTCAATATTGGATATTCAACTGCGAAGTATTCCAGCAGGCCTGTAAAGATTTACTTAGTGTATTTATATACCCAAGCAGACCATTTCCCCCCTGCGTTTTAATATTTTGTACTTCGAGGGGGGAAAAGGACACGTGCCGTTTTTTGCCACCAACTCTCGTCACACGGTACACACAACTCGGCAGTCTGAAGTTCACAGGTTTTTAAATTCCGGTTGGAAAAAAAAACACAGGATTCCTTTACAGTACATGTACATATAGGCCTTCTTGTGGGTAAAAACAGAAATGATAGGAATAAAGATCAAACTGCATGTACATGTACTGTACAGTATGTGGTCAGTGCACAGGCAGGACACTTGTAGGAGCGGTTGTGGGACCCAAGGGGAACATTAGGTCTGGAGTTGGAGTTGTTGCTATGGCGACTGCCATCTGGGCTGGAAAAGGTTAATGCGAAAAGGACTAAGGTCATTCAGGGATTTGAACTTAGGTTGAGGGGTCCTGCACAAAATTGTACACATGTGGTCTAAGCTAAGAGTAAATTATATGTATTTCTAATTCTAATGGCAAGCGGATTATACAAATTGTAGAAAATGTAGAAATCAAAACATAGGCAAATAATGCTCGGTGTCCTCTACAGATATAGAAAAGCATATACCTGTGCCAGTGGTGCAGGAGGATATGAGATTGAGGACATATTTCCTTACAGTGGTCCTTGTCACACTGCATGCAACATACATGTACAGTGTACATGTACAATGTACAGTACATGCGCACCCTACGGGTGTGACCCGAGGGTCCCGCAAATTACAGGGTTTTTTGTTGTTGTTGTTGTTGTTGTTGTTGTTGTTGTTGTTGTTGTTGCTGTTGCTGTTGCTGTTGCTGTTGTTGTTGTTGCTGTTGCTGTTGTTGTTGTTGTTGTTGTTGTTGTTGTTGTTGTTG